AAGTCCTCATGTCCAAAGTCATCGAACTAAATGTTCATGTATTAATAATCATCTCTAGACCCCTCCCAGACTGCTTATGCCCAGCGCTTACTGTACATTACGGGATCCTTCTGCGATCTAACTTTTCGAAGAACTGTCAATTCAGGGATGCCAGTTTTCAGGCAAAAGCCTGAATTCATGCCCTGGCGATTTATTTTCAGGCCATAGTTTAGGCGTTTTTTTTTACAAAATAGCTCATTCTGGGTGATTTTCAGGCCCTCTGACCGATTCTAACTGGCATCCCTGTCAATTATAGTAGATATGGAAAATCTAAACATTATTAAACAAACATCTTCTCGATTAAGATTCTGAATGTCAATGCTAAGATCAATGTCAACTAGAAAGTTTGTGCATGTCATACCTTCTTAGTTCTAGTCAGAACAAAAGCCAAATCGGCTTTAAAATCACAGACAATCACTTTACTAGTCCGCTGGTCTGACATTTGATATGGCTTTTCCTTCTCCAAGGAAGCTTGAAGCTTGAAGTATGACTTTTCTATCCTCGATCATGAAGATTTTTAAATTTTGAATGTTCATATTAAATGCTGTTACAAATTCTTCCGAAATTGGATCACAGTCAGTTGGCTTTAATATTTGAAATTGCTACAGATTACAGCAGTTAAGAAAGTATGGCAATACATAACGATTCAAATACAATACTTAATTGAAATCAGAAAACAACAAACAAAATTAAGATTAAATGAGAAAGTATAACGTGATAAAAAACTGTCAGAACTAATGGCAAAGTAGCCAGGTGTTAGACTTTCTTTTTGCCTCCCCCCACCTTTTATTTGATTAATTCTCCAGAATGGTAAATGTGTATCTGTCTAGCCTACATTTCAAACCACAAAATCTGCAATAGTTTCCTCCCTAATTTGGTTGTCTGCATTAGATGCTTTGCATTCCCATGGCTATTGACACCAGTACAGTACGTTATTTCATTAGATGTTAATCAGATGTGAAGTGTGAGGTCGTTGATTGATTGAAATTTCCCATTTAAATTGCAAACGCTTGTCAAAATTCATCATGTGAATTGAATTAGCATTAAAAAACAAACACTGGATCATCATAAAGTCAATTAATAATCTCGCGCAAACAAACATCGCGATAAATCATCTGGAAGCAGACTGTATTAGGAAGAGAGGATCAATTGGACAGCTCGCAGAGGAAGACAGGATAATCAATTTGACACTAGAGAGATTTATTTAATGAACTCTGTTTCCTCTTGTTTAAATACCTGAATTGACTTCTGTCTGTCTGTCTGTCTCCAAGTAAAGTGTGAACTATTTCTCTCTTTCTCAAGGATTCTCAATACCCAGCGTTACATGTCCAAATGTATACTGAGGCTATTCCAGGACTCCAGGCGACATGTATTTTGTCCCGTATGTATGTAACCAGTAAAAACTCAGATTTTAGTGATGCCCTTTCTGATCTTTGTTTTAAAAGAAATCCAACCTTGATAGCAAACTACTCTAGAGGAATACAGAAAAATCAGAGAAGCAGACTGGTGAAAGTTTAAATGAAATCGACAAAAAAATGTTTGATCAAGGGTAATATTTAAAGTAATTATTACTCTTCTGAATACACCTGATAACTAACATACCGGTACTGTTTTCAATGTTATGCATACTCTTTATTAAGGTTGTTCTTGACCACCAAAAATAATGGCTTGCCTTACATATCAACCACAAATAATGTTTGCAGGCTTGATTCCAAGTTTGTAAATGTACTGTAGTTTGAGGTTAATGGATACAGTGTACCTTGCCACTAGGTCCCTAGTAAAGAAGAAACATCCATAAAATTGAATATGGCAGGAAAAGGTTTACATGTATGTCATACCTTTAACATTGCTCAGTTGTGATGTATCTCTTGACCTTTACGCACATACTTGTGAGAAAGGCATGCCGACCTGAATAATAAATACTCAGACAAGCAATACTCATCAATGTATGCCTGTGTCAAATAAATGATTCTTGGAATTCGATCACCAAGATTTCATTAGAGCGAGTGCCTGCCGACAAAGTTCTTCACTTTGGTAGCAGTCCTGAAGAGAGGGATCCCTCAAAACATGATGAAGTGCACTCTGGTAAAAAAACTTGTATTCTTTCCCCAAAGTGGGATTTTAGAATTGTCTCTCATTTTTGTATTTTGCTTCCAATTAAGCTCTCCTACATTCTTGTTCTGTGCCTATTTCTATCTTATCTTCCTTTCTCTTTTTTCCTTCTATTTTCTCTTACATTTTCCTTCTCTTTTTTCTAACTCTTACTCTCTCTCTCCCTCTTTTTTTCTTTCTTTCTCTCTCTCTCTCTCTCTCTCTATCTCTCTATTTCTCTTTATTTCTCTCTCCTTTTATCTCTAGCTTCATCCTATTCATCTTGTTTTTGTAGATCTCTCTCTCTCTTTCTCTCTCTCTTTCATGTGCAGTATGTACCTCATTTTGTTGTCTGAGGGGAGAATGAGTTTCCTTTTTCCATACATTGTTCATGTATGTCGCTTGAGGGTCCCATTATAAGAGCATCGCCATCTAAATGTGAAAGGTCTTGCACTGTGAAGAAAGTGTGAATCCCTGTTTCAGGCCTACATGCACTGTATGAAGGTTCAAGGGCCCCTGTACTGTAATGATCATTTTAATGCAATGACTGCATCGTATGTGCCTCTATTATCAGTATGGGGTCACACCTGCGGGTGTGCCCTGAACAGTTCCTTCAGTGGGTCCAGTCTAAAAACAGAGTTACACTTCCTATAAAAAGAAACATGGACAAAGTTTATCAATCATCAATGCAATTACTTCTCTCCATTGAAATATGAATTATGTTTATGACTTATGATGTCTATGCTATTTTTGGTTTTGGTATATTTTGAAACCACAGTGGATATGTATATGTACCCTGGTTATCATCTGGTGTTTGTATGATTTTACCGTTTGAAATATTGGATTTTTTTTTTTTTTTTAACAATTTGCTCGTAAAATGTGAACAATTCAGCCAATTGCTGCTAATCATGTTTTGTATTAATACCAAGAAGAAATAATTACATTTCAAATAAAGAAAAGAAAAAAAGAAAGAGCACTTTATGGTTTAAATTGTTAATGTAATAATTATTAAAATTGGTTGATGATGTCTGTGAGTCCACGACACATAAGTTTTATGAAATGTTGATAATAAAGTGAGAATTTACCGCGATTGACGATTCTCAAGCTATTCATGTTAATGCCTGTCTTTTATTTTATATAAAAGAATCAAATATAATTCAATGAAGAAGAATCATGTTGTCCCTTTTCACCCACTGACTACTGTATTCTTGAATTCCTGTAGGCTTTGATACAACAGTCATCCAGTTCCCAGGCCTGATAAAAACCTGATTTAAATCAGTTTCCCGATTTTTTTCCCGATTTTTTTTTACTTCCCGATTTAAAAAAAAAAAAAAAAATATATAAATCCTGATTTGTTTTAATTAATTTATTTGTTTTACCTTTTTTTTTTTTCTTCCCTATTTTATCCTGATTTTCTCTATTCTTCCCTATTTTGCCCTATTTTCCCCCCAATTTTGTCCCCCAATTTTGTCCAAATTTTCTTACTTGAAAGGGGGGAATGTTATTAGATGCCATTTTTCCCCCTTGAATCCTTTTTTTTTTTTACTCAAGGGGGCGTAATTGAGGGAAAACAAAAAATCTATTTTTTTTTTAATGCTAACTATCACCCCTGAGTTCCAGTATTCAATTGGTTCACAGCATAGGATGTCAATCTCAAGGGAAAACGTCATCATACCTGTAGCAATGTACATGTATCCGCTTTAACTGCATAGACTGTTTTTGGAAAGAGAGTGAGAGGAACGATATGAAATAGTTGAAAAAGAATCTTGAGATTGTGTGCCCCAGGTACTGTAGTTGACACTTTAATAAGACGTGACATTGTTATATGTGAAAAGGAAATGGACTAATTCAAGCATTATGGCAAACCTCTTTTGACTTCTCGCTGTTCATTGTCCCCATGTACAAACCATATCACTTTTTAGGACACAATCGATATCTTGACACCAGGTTTTAGGGCTTCTAAAGTCAACTTATGGAATGAGAGAAAATGTGGTGACTCGACCAGCTTTCAAGCTTGCATCATTTTTTATTATTTATTTTTTTAAATATAATTTTTTTGTTTGTTTTTTTGTTGGGGGGGGGGTGGGTTGATCATTGTGATGCAATATAGCAATACAAAGAACCGATGTACAGCATGTAAATTTGATGATAGAATTAACTGCATTCTATAAGAATTACCAGACTGGTCAAGAACATGGCAAGTATTTTTAGAGGAATGTAGGCAGACCAGGGCCCCATAACACAGAGCTTAGCAATTGATGAGATTGATTGCATTGATTACTACAGTATGCACTCAAAATCAATTGTACAATGAAGTGCTAATCATTGTGTAATGGTAATGCCTACCTGCCAACCCTTCCAAATAATCCGGAACATTCTGTTTTTCTGGATTTTTAGGACCCCAAAATCCGGAATATTCTGTTTTTTCAAAATTTCAATGTTTTTTTGTGTGTGTGTGTGTGTGTTGCTTAAGCCAAATTAAGCTTGTTTTATCATATGCCACGATGTGAAAGTTCACGTATTGCTTGCGTTGAAGGGCTGCATGATTGAGCAGCGAATTTGTATTCGCTTTTTTGCACAGATTTACCGCGTACTGCCAGTTACACTGCCGCTGCGTGTGCGAACGCTAAAAGGGTACAGATTTCTTATTTTCAAAGACATACCGCGCTAAAAATTCTTAATTCTCATTTTCAAATGTTGGCAGGTATGGTAATGGGGCCCCGACCAAGATTTTAGGCTGTGAGCTACAGAACAATCTAATATCTTCTTGAAGCATGCAAATTGTAAGATTCCAGATTAAACAACGGAAGGAATTGTTCTTTGTTTCCTTGGCAACTTTATCATTTCTCTGTATTTCATTGCTCTTGCAGATCTCGACTGACTGACTGGATGTTACACCCTTTCACATAATGGAACCTTAAATACCAGTAACGTAGCAACCAGCATCACTATAATCCCAATCCAAGATGGAGGACGTTGCCATGGATCTGGAGGGAGTGACCGTAGGAGGGACTATCCTCAAGCAGAAAGTAGCAGTGTGTATGACCCGAAGCGACAGCATGTCCATTGGATCCTTTGGGTCAGACATTGCCTCAGGGGGTTCCGAAGAGATGGACACTGAGGATTCCGAGAAGGATCCAAAGGAGGGGTTCCTCCAGAGCGAAAGAAGCAGATTCTCGTCGGCGTCGAAGGAGAGGCAACAGGAAGGTCTCGATAACCTGACGTTGCCGTTGGACAACCAGAGAGACGGAAAGTACGATTTGGAGAGAATAACAGGTGATGCGACCTCACCAGTCATTGAAAATAAACTCTCGGACGACGTAAGTGGCTATTATGCCATGAGAACAAGTCTGCTGTCACAGTCCGCGGTGATTCTAGAAAATGGAGGAGCTGTTGGGAAGACGAGCAGCGGAAGGTACGAGGATGCCAATTGTAACATTGGGGCACGGGACTCCGGAACTAGGTCCAGCTGTGTAGCCAGGAAGAGCAGTAAGGCTTTCCATACAGGCTACAGCTCCGACTCTGAATCAGAAACAGAAGGGTTGAGTTGTAGCATGCAGTCAACGGACGAGAAACATGACAATAACTGTTCTAATTCGAAACAGGAATCTGAAGTTTTAAGTGCAGCTGAAATTAAAGTGAAAAGTGAACCTGGGACAGATTGTGGAGAACTCAAAACGGATCAAAACAAGGAACATGAGAGGAAGGATTTCACAAGTTCAAGGGAAGTTGAGACCGAGTCGAGACCAGAGGGGGTCTGTGTCAGTGAATGTGAAGATCCACTGAGAAAGGTTTCGGTGGACATCGAAGACGGCAGCGCCAGTGACTCGATGGCTGAGATCGAGAAGTCGGGTCTGGAAGCCAAGCTTGCGCGTGTTTCCAAACGTCGCATCTACTCGCGAGCCAGGGACCTGGCCCAGGCCTCGGACTCCAGCAGTGAGAGTGATTCAGAGAGCGAGAGTGAGGAAGAGGAAGAGAAGGAGATGATCTTCGAGGATCTCCACAGTGCCAAGGTGCTGTTCAACGCGGCCCAGCCGGACTCTGAGAAACTAATAGAGCGTGAGGCATTGAAGATGGCCTGTGTAGATGATCTTTTGAGTGACTGTGTCTCAAGCGACGACTCTAGCGAAGATTCCAGTGACGACTCCAGCGATTCTAGCTCTGAGTCCGAGAGCTCGGAATCCGAATTATCGAGGTAAATAAAAGTGGACCGGTTTTTATTCATCTATTCAAATTTTAACTTTAATGTAACAAAACTCCCCTTTTTTACCTGAAGGTTCATCTGTGGCTTGTCCAGCATGGTAAGGAATTTTAAGATGAAAAGTAGCATTCCCATCACTTCAATCAGGTTGGGATTTATTGGAATTTAAAATGTAAATTGCATGTACAGGGGAGTGTTTCACATAGACTAAGATCGACTTTAGGTTGGACTTGAATTAAGGCAGGCAGTTCATGCCACTAGTTCCTCTCACTATTGTGATCTTTAGACCATGATTTGTATGTCCCTTGAAAGACGAATGCCATTAATTGGTGAGAGAAAACAGTGGCATTAACAGCCTTCCATAGTTAAGTCCATCTTGATCTTAGTCTTTGTGAAACTGGCCCCTGGTGTAGTTTTGAAATCTACAAGTAGCTCTCTCAATGTTTTTTTCCCCTAAAGATTATAATTTATTCTGTTTCAGTGCAAATGAATTAGAAATTCAAAACACAAACAGTGCTGTACACTGTACATCTACATGTATGTACCTGTACACGTGCTACCCAAATTCCAACCATGATATCTTTGACCTTGTGTGAGTTTGTGTTCAAGAGCGTTGTCATTGTTATAAACAAAAGTTTACAAAACATTCACACTATATTGGCTTGCATTCCATGAATTGAAAGGTCCAGGGGTTTACCTGAGGTTTACCTTAGTATTGCCAAGCTGTCACCGTGTTCATACTGAGCATAATTGGGAAATTGCAGGTGGAGAATGTGTTTGCTTTCTCAAGAACTTAAGAGTATGGCTTCCAAACAAGATACATACAGTACATGAGTAGAATCCCTTTCCAAATTTGCAACCGCTCTGTTAAAGTTATCAGCCCCCTAAAATATGAATACTGTTGTTCTCTTCCAATTCTTTGGGGCTTTATAAATTTCCTGTCAGATAAATTCTCATTCTCCGTCAAAACTTGGTTGCTAGGTGACACCAACGAGAGGAAGGAAACGAAATATTGAAGCGAAAGTATTTGAGGTGATGAGAAGTTATGGCTCTCTGCCAGTACCAGCGGTAGGTCCTTTGCAAACAATGTTGGCTCAACTCCATCCTTTTCTGTTAGATCTTTGTGATTCTTTTGTCATAATCAAATGATTTTAAAGAAAATCCTTTTTGTGAATGTTTTGTTTTTAGAACTAACAAACATAAACAACTCATTTAAGACTTGTTTGAAAGGATTTTAGGCATTACCCACTACCGGTAACTGTAATGCTGACACATCAAATTTTTCATTGCACGTATGTGAACTTAACATTGTTTAGAGCCGTATCAAAGGTCTATTAAAGAAAACCAAAACCTTTATACTAAGTTACTTTTATTGTAAAGTTTAAGATATTTGAAAAATATCAGTGAAAATTTGAACAAAATCGGGCAAGGACTAAGGAAGTAAGAGTGTGTGTGTGTGTGTATTGGGTTTTTACAGACGTGTATCAATCAGATATGATTATTTACGTCTGGGACCGACCTTTAAACGTCACCATCCGAAAGACGTGACTCAGTTTCGAACCTGCGTCCTCGGCTGAATCAGTTTGTAACTTCCACTTTTTAGCTGGATTACAGGCGCACGCCACAACGCCTAAGAGCTTTTTGAAATGACTAGTCACTAGAGGGCGGTATTCAATTTGATGACATCATCTGTGGACAACTCTCCATGCCTTTTGTACATCAAATTTCACGTTTTTCCTTCTTTCTTGTGATTGAGATAATGTACTCCCCCGAAAGCAAGATATAGAATGCAAAATGATATTCTACTTCACATGTTATGAAGTCGGATCAAGAACACAAATAAATACGAAGAAAACAAAAAAATTGTGAAATTTTATGTACAAAAGGCATGGAGAGTTGTTCACAGATGATGTCATCAAATTGAATACCGCCCTCTAGTGACTAGTCATTTCAAAAAGCTCTTACTTCTTTATTCCTTGCCCGATTTTGTTCAAATTTTCACTGATTTTATTCAAATCTTTTAAACTTTACATAAAAGTAACTTAGTATGAAGGTTTTGGTTTCCTTTAAAGGAAGGGGCTTTTTTTATTTTTGTCCGCGTGACACAACCCTAGTCAAAGGCAAGATATTCCTATAGCGTGACACAAACACGGTCAAATTAATTTATTCTTGGCAGGCTGATATAACCACAAAATAATTTGTATTTGTTGCCTAACAGGTCAACAAGTTATACTGCGTGCCCCATAACAGGGAAATGGTCTGTTTGACAACACTGTGGTTCAATGAACTACATTGTACATGTACATCATCCCAATCCTGTCATTTAACAAATCTTTTTTCAGTGATGCTATTTCTGTCTTTTTTTAAGCAGCCATAATGATTTCTGGGAACTCTTATATTTTTGTCAGTTTGACAGATAGCGGGTCAAACATATTTATCTTGTCAGACAGGACTAGTGAGAAGTTTTGACAGAAGACCATCACAACACAATGGTCAAACTTTAAAAAAAATAGTCCTGTCAGTTTGTCAAGTCCAGATACTGTACATGACATGTACTCCCATATTATTATTTTTCATTCATCCACCCAAGCTCTTAAATGAAATTTCCACAAATTAATATATTTTTTTATCTCTGGTGGTCCGTGAATGGTTTTGATACGTGTGACCCATGGGCCAAAAATGTCCATATAAATTATAAAGTAGCTGCAAATTTGACAAAGGAGCTATTAAATGGGGTGGGCAGGGGTGGAGGGAGGGGGTGGGGTGGTGGGCGTTCTGAATAGATGTTTTGAAATATATGAAATAATATGATAATTGTTAGAGCACAATAGAGTATTTTATTTGTAAAAGAAGCTACACTGTACACTAGTTGTACGACACATGATCCAGCGACATTTGCTTTCCATGGTCAACACACCACACTATGTGAATTCCCAACATCAATCTTAGAACAAACACCTACATGTATGACCCTAACCCTTGCCCCTATTAACATAGTTTACATGTACCTACATGTATCCTAAAACTCACATGTAACCCTTCCCCTAACCCCGTGATGAATTATAAATGGACATATTGTAAGAATTATTTCTCCGAATTTATTTCAGTGCGGATGAATCAGATGATGAAGCAGAGGAGGAGGAGACAAAGCCTGCGAAAGGAAAACAACGTTCTGTCGATTCAAAAGAAGGATTTAGCAAGGTGTGTTCATGATTTCAGTTCTAATGGTTCTTGTAAATGTTGGCTTACTTGGACTGTAAAGCAGGGCTCCCACTTAGCCGAGTTGGAGCCTCGAGTTGTGGCGAGATGGCGCGATGTTATGGCAAGCCGTTTTATTATTAATTGATATCAAGAAATCAATTCTTGATATCAAGAAATAATTTTACGTTGTAAAGCAATGGTATATTTTGATATCAAGAATTCAATTTCGTGATATCAGGAATTCGATTTCGTGATATCAAGAATTATGTTTTAATGATAAAACTGCTTGCCATAAGATCGCGCCAGCTCGCCACAACTCGAGACTCCAACTCGGCTAAGTGGGAGCCCTGCTTAACTAGCCTCTTTGTATGATTTGTTAATTTGTGTTAATGGGAACAAAACTTACAGTTTACTCAGTTTACTAGGAATTCTCTTGTATGTTATCAAAAGCATGAACAAGTTTATTCGCATCATGTTGCCAATTTAATTTCATATCTTTATCTACGTGTACTGTTTGTTTCAGCTTATTTGTTGAAGGAAATGCGTTATGAATTCCTTTAGAAAGTTATTTATGAATGTTCTTGTGTACACCTGTATGTACAATGTACATGCTAGATTCAATAATGCATCTTATTAAAATAAAAAGAAGATACCCAACCTCCTGTTTTAAAGACGACAGGTGACCTTTGAACTTCATTATATCTGTCTACATTAATAACAGGGATTGCCAGAGGTAGAATATCTGCAGATTTCTCTCCCGGAGTCAGTAGAGCTCACCAAAGTTGGCCATGTATCGAGCATTATTGGATCACTTGGTAAGTACCTGTATATCAAGCTTTATTTCATATTGTATATATTTTTGATCAGTGTTCTTCAACTTCTTTTGTTTTAAATTTATTTATTTTCAATCTGGGATATGTTTCAATAATCATTGGGTTTTTAGGTAAGTAAAGCAATCATCAAACTTTATTTTGGATATGTTTCGAGCATCACTGGATCTTTATGTACATGTAACTACAATATTCGTCAAGCTTTCTTTATTGAAAACCAGCCAAGGATATATCTTGGAATATCATCGGGTATTTAAAGGACAAGTCCACTTCAAAAATAACTTACTTTCAATAAAAGCAGAAAAATCAGACAAACCAATCAAAACAAGTTTGAGCAAAATCGGATAGCTAATAAGAAAGTTATGAATTTTTGAAAAAGTATGTAAAACTATGGAACAATGAGAATCACGACACAAATTGCCAAGATGATTATCAGTTTGTGACGTCATGTCCTCACAACTTATCAATTGCTTTATATAGTTTAATCCCATTAATTTCCCTTTTTATCCCCCACAACTTGATTTCCCCATGCCTTTGCCCAGGTTATATGATTTGTATCATTATTGCGTGCATGACATTTCCCAAATTTTTTTATGAATTTTGAAGAATTGATACTATTTGCCGAATATTATATTTCATAATTATTGATTTTTATATAAATAGTTTATCAAAATTCTATTTTTCATGATTTAACTGGACAAAAATTACTCTTTATTTGTGCATCCACACAAAAACATATTACTAACAATCTAAATTGGATGCTGGTGTGAAGAAATAAGATTCTTAGGGTGAAAATAGGAAATTTATATTATCAATATAAAGAAAATAATTAGTGGATAGTGAGGACCATACGTCACAGACTCATGAGTGAGTTGCCAATTTGTGTAGTGATTTAAAAAAAAATTCATGTCATTAAAAATTCATAACTTTCTTATTAGTCATCCGATTTTGCTCAAACTTTTTTTGATTGGTTTGTCTGATTTTTCTGGTTCTATTGAAAGTAAGTTATTTTTGGAGTGGACTTGGGCTTTAAGTACAGTAAACATGGTCAGGAGAAAGAAAAAAATGAAAGATTTAATATAATTACTTCACACATGTACCGGTACATGTTTTATCTAAACGTTTGAATTCTACATACATGTACATATAGTTGTAAATCACTACATGTAACACATACATTGTACAATGTATTTCAGTTGAAATTCCTGTAATCTGTAATGTATTAGACTGACCTAACCCACAATAAATGAGAACAAAGAAGTCACTCAAAATTTCAATTTTTAAAATATTTTTTTCTGTCCGATGGAAATTCTCTTTGCTCACATTTTCATACAACTTAACATCACGTAATAAACATAGAAACATGGCATAGAAAGATAGCATATTGTGATAAAACCAAAATAGTATTCAGTACATGTGTTTTCAGTTAGACTTTCATAATATGTACATACATGTAGAGGAGTAAAGAACTTGATCGGACTGATTTTATGTACAGATAGGGAGAGGAACAAAGGAGCTTGAAACGGAAAGGATCTTAAAAGCTCACACACAGTGCAACTGATGGCCCCATTTTATATTTCAATTGAATTTATTTCATAACATTTGTCAGCAAATGCGGTTAGATCTGTCATTCAACTGCGTAAAAATAGTATATCTGACCACCTAATATTTTGGATCTAAAATGAAGACGGTATTCAGTTACTATTCTTTCACAGGCACATTGTTTCTTTTAAAAGAATGAGTAACACATTTGTTCATTTCTTTCTTTCTATTTGTTGTTGTGTAATTATTCTTTGTAATATTTTTTACCCTTTTACAGGAGCTAAAGCAAAAGATGTTAATTTCCAAAAGATCAGAGAAAAAAATGTGTAATGTTTTGATTATTTATTGGTATCGTATCTTGGTGAAATACAATTTTAAAAAAGTTACTAGTAGTACATTTGTAACATTGAATAATGAACAGTCTACAGAATGATTCACCAATGCACATAGTCTGGTCTAGATTAATTTTTCAAAGAAAGATGTGGTAACATTCTTGCTTGAGGGAGAGGCACATACATGTATGGATGTTCAAAAACCAATATAGGAAATCCAGACATTGCCTACAGCACAAAGAAGCAGCATCATTAATTCATGGAATATGATTCACTTTGACTCATAGGTGGGAGAGAGAAAGAAAATCAACTTTAACTTGTAGAACGGCTTACTGGCAAAGCCAAGATGGCATTTTGAAAGGTTATTTCGCTTTGCAATGGATTGATCGTCTGAGCGTGCGTTAGACGTCCAAGTTTAAAAGCATTCCCATTGATCACATCACTTTCTTCTTTTTTCCAGGGAGAACTTTTGAAAGTGAGGAATGTTAGTCTTGTAGTTTTCAGACTTGAGGCAGTCTGGGGGGTGTTTCATAAAGCTGTTCGTAAGTTACGCACGACTTTACGCACGACTGGTGATAAGTTCTTGTGCTACATGTAAATGATTGAGAATCTGATTAGCACCCAAGAACATGTTCCAGTCGTGCGTAAAGTCGTGCGTAACTTACGAACATCTTTATGAAACACCCCCCCAGGTTGTATTTAGTGCTTTCGTTGTACAGAAAATCAACTAATCCACGGAAACCAGTACATGTAGAAGGACTACAAAATGTAAATTGGTTGATTTTGGCATTATTTGACCAAGGGGTAAAAAAGTATTTTAGATTATGAAGATTCTGTCTTCCTTTTGGAAAGACATATTGAATGAATGTGTGTATTTCAAAGTTGAAAGGATACATTTTGGGAAGATGAGAGAGATTTATAGAATATTTGCTATGAGATGGAAATGGGGACATGTAGATAAAGAGAGAGAGAGAGAGAGAGAAGGGGGAGGGGGAGGGGTGGGAGATTAAACAAAAAGAGAAAAAGAGAGACAGAGAGACAGACAAATTAAGGCAGAAATAATGTAGATAGAGGCATAACAAGAAAATGAACATACATGTATAGAGTGTGACAAGAGAGACAGACAGAAGGAATTTGAATTTTTATTTACATGTACCCTTTTGCTGGGCACACATTTGTTTACCCCTCCCCCCCCCCCCCCCTTCCCAAACAAAAATAGAGGAGAATATCAGTGGAGGAGGATAATAGTAACGGTCTCTTTGGGCTCTCCGTGGAGTCTTGTAAATGTCAAGCGGCTTTGAACCATTTGGTGAAGCTAAACATTTGAGATTTATTGTGTTTGTCAGAGAAAAAGGAAAATACTTGTTTACCAATCCATCCAATTGCATTGTGTTGCTGAAGCAGCATTCAAAGTTGCCTCTTAGAATAATAGCCTCCGATAGCCTGTCATGTTTATTCTATGAAATGAGCAGTTATCTTTTCATCGTAAAATAACATTTGAGTAACATTTGTTTTCTTCAATTTTTGTTTCATTTTTGTTTTCATATAAACGAATACAAATATAATAATGTAAATAGCCTGAGATGCATATTAAGACAATGAAGCTAGAATAAAGTAGAAGGTTAGGTCTGATATGTCTACAACAAATAAGAATAAAGATAGTTATGATATGATATACAAATCAAATGTGTTGGAGCTGCATTAGAACCAGTATATGTTTTTGGCTTTAAAATGTTATGATTTTGTTCTTGTGATCTGATCGCATTTAGATAAACTTGATAGAACAAGATGTCAATAGAAAAGTAAACCCGTCCCCATGTCACTCCCTGTCCTAGGTAAAATAAGTCATCGGCGGTGTACTCACCCCTCATATTAATTACTAATCCAAATCACCATGGTAACAAATCCCCCACGATGACAAATATACCTCCATATTTACCCCAATATTTTTGTTGCCTTTGTTACGATACTTGCCCTCCTTGCATGACCTGTCAAGGAGAGGACGACTTGTCTTTTGTCAATAAGTCATCAAAAGCATGAGTGCGTGCCTGTTTTGTAGTTTTAAGATGATATTATATTTTATATTGCTGCTTTTACTCTGTTAATTTTTCAAAAATAACAATAAAAACAGAAAGGAAAAAAAAAAAAAAAAAAAAAAAAAAAAAACCGACATGTTATTATTCATGTTTACTCTTCCTACCCAACATGTAATGAGTCTAGACTTCTACATATTGTCTACATTATTTACAAGAAGATGGGGGTACATTAGCTCGGTGTCTTCTGCTTTGTGTGTGTTCTTTCTTTCTTTCTTTCTTTCTTTCAGTCTTTCTTTCTTCTTGTTCTTGTTCTTGTTCTTGTTCTTCTTGTTGTTCTTCTTCTTTATTTTCTTCTTCTTCTTCTTCTTCTTCTTCTTCTTCTTCTTCTTCTTCTTCCTCTTCTTCTTCCTCTTCCTCCTTCTTCTTCTTCTTCTTCTTCTACTTCCTCTTCTTCTTCTTCCTCCTCTTCCTCCTCTTCTTCTCCCTCCCCTCCTCCTCTTCCTCCTCTTCCTCTTCTTCCTCTTCTTTTTCTTCTTCCTCTTCTTTTTCTTCTTCCTCTTATTCTCCCGTATTCTCCCTCCTCTTCCTCCTCTTCCTCCTCTTCCTCTTCTTCTTCCTCCTCCTCCTCTTCCTCCACTTCTTCCTCTTCTTCCTCTTCTTCCACCTCCTCCTCTTCCTCCTCTTCTGCTTCTTTTCTTTATTTCTTTCTTTCTCTCTGTGTTTCTCCCTTCCATTACTTTACTTGCAAATTTAAACAAAAAAATATGAAGTGAACAAAAGATATCGTGTGTCAGTGATTTCAAATGCTTTGAATTAATTGCATTAGACTAATAAAGAAAGAACAAAACAAAACAAGGACTACTTTTTTGTATCTTTTCTCTTTTTTTTAATCCAGAGTAATTTTGATTTACCCACAATGAGTGGTTTAATTGTCTAAGTTGCCTCATTTTATCTTTATTGTGCGATATGTGAGGCAAATATAGTGTACATATCATTTTAAGGCTTTGTGATGTATTTTTGTAACTGATACATAAATTTGTTAGTATAACATTTTCAAAATTCAATTAAGATCATCTTTGGGGTGGATTTGGTCTGCATGGACGACTTCCGAAGCCTTGAGCAGAGCCTAAAGTCAGTCTCTGGCTCTGTCAAGTAGAGTGACTTATAAAGTACAGACCCCATTGTAGTCTCATGGTGCAGACACTCTTACGCATCACGTCTGACATGGGTTTGTGTCTGCAAACTAGGGCGGGGTTAACTACCACTTGTTCCTAATATGAGTAATATTTACCCCTTCAGTTAAGTTTATGAGAATCAATTTGTGGTTTCCTGCGTGTTGTCAGCCTCTTACAGTATGAAGATATGGCTTAATGACGAGCCAAATTAACCCTGCATTCAGACTACCAGCATTTATCGTTTAGCTAAACGATGAGTTTATCTAGTCTGAATGTCATTTAACAAATATAATTCGTATAACGAAACGTTGTATACAAAGCACCTGTTTGAGTATCATTTTGAATGAAACATATAAAGAATCAGGATACGTCGTATCGTACAAAAATTGTGTAACTGGACTTTTTTTTTGCGAGCGTCATTTTAACTGACCTCTTCGAAATTAGTTTCTTTATAAGACGTTTCTTTATAAGATGTTTCTTTAAATGTTTTCTAGTCTGTTAGGCTCCTGTGACTTTACGATGATTCTTATATAACGTTTCTTTATACAACGTTTCTTCAAAAGATGTTATCTACAGTAGTCTGTACGCTCCTTTCAGTATACGATGATTCTTTATACAACGTTCTCTCAAATAGAAACGAGTTTCATATAGACTTTCTGTAGTCTGAAGTCTGAAGTCTGAACAGGCCTGCATTAGTCACATGTGTTGACTTGGATCATTATTAATATTAATGTCCTTGGTGGGGATTCTTACTCGATCAAGTCAGAAATAGAAGCTAGGAGAATGTTATGACAGGCTCTTCCGTCAATAAAATGTTGCACATAGCTCAAGGAATCTTCTGCTTTGATCTGCATTTATTTCTTGATTGCTTGTGATTAAAAAACCCCACTGGAATATCTTAGTAAAGTTCAAGCATTGGTTGTAGCAAAGATCAGATATTATCCTGTTTACTACATTTGAATGTCAGTAAGAAATATATGAAGCAAACATTTTTGCTTATTTCTTCACCTTTTTCCTGCTATTTATTTGAATAATTTGAATCCAATATTCCCTCACAAACATTGTTACATGTCGATAATTTCTTTTTTTCTTTAAATTTCCCTGTGTTTCTTTTCATTTCCTTTTTTTGTGGAGGGGGGGGGGGTGCTCTTTTCTTGTACTTCATTTTATCAACTTTTCTTTTCCTTTTTTTTTTTGCAGACTGCTTTGCTTTGTGTTATTTTATTTATTTGTATATAGTTTAGTTTACTTTACCTTTAGATGTTATACACTGATCTGACCTGTTCGATGCTATTCTGTTTGTATTTTTTCTACTTTCTCTTATATTTTCCTTTTTTTTTAATTTGTTGGCATTGTATGTGCAATTCATGTTTATTTTTACTTTTATGATATTACCAGTTCTTTAAAAAGTGTTATGTCCTATGCATTCATGCCAACAATACTTTATCAAAGATGGAAATCAAACTTTATAATCAACATGATACGTACATGTACATGTACCTGCCAACCCTTACAAATAATCTGGAATATTCTGTTTTTCTGGATTTTTAGGACAGGTCTGAAAATTCGTAATATTCCAGATTTTCAAAAATTTCATTTTTTGTTGTTGTTGGTTTTGGGGTGTTTTTTTTTGTGGTGCTTAAGCTAAAGCTATCTGTGGTGCTTAAGCTAATTAAATTTAGCTTGTTCTACCATGTGCCGCAATTTAAGAGTTGATTTCTTATTTTCGAAGGCATACCGTGCTAAAAATTGCTAATTCTTATTTTCAAATGTTGGCAGTTATGCATGATATGATAAATCCTTTAATAATGATTTATACATTTATGCTCTTCTACTTGCAGTGATCATCCAAGCTGAACCTAAAAGTCCAGCCCTCAACATCGAGAGTGTCCTGTTCAAACCAGATAGATCTGTTCTTGGTCAGGTAGGTTAAAGATCATATACAGTTTTATTGAAAAAAAGGAAATGGGGAAAGCAGTCTTGTATTGTTCTTGAATTAAAAGATATATGTTAGCAGTCATCTAGTATTCCATCCATGATTGTAGAGGTGTTGTGGTCTAGTGGACAAGTCACCTGACTGTAGATTACAAGGTACAGAGTTTGAGTCCTGCCACGGCACTATTGTCCTTTTGCAAGACGTGAATCTACAATTGCCACTCTCCACCCAGACAGTGTTTGTGTAGACTGTAGCGTATATGCAGTAGGACAGTCCCTCAACGGTTTTACACTCGTGTAGTGCAGGTTATTGTTGTTATAATATCTCCCCCACAAAAATTGAAAATATAAAAAAGGCACATAAATGTATGTGTGAACTGATCTTATGTTTGGTCTTTGGTTTTTTTTCCTGTATATTTGTAGCAGTAAAATATTATAACAGTCATAAAGAACTATACATTTTTCATGCCAATTTGAAGAAAAAATGCAAGATAATATCTGTTCCTATGTTGGCTCACATTGGCTACTTAGAACAGTCAACTTAGAAATATGTACCCGATATAACTGTAACTGATATGAAAGTGTTGCCAATTTGATAGGCTATACAATTGATGAGTTGATTGTGCTTCACTAAACTACTGTCATCAGCTGTTATAAAAATATGATGTAGAGGTGTTGTGCCATAGTGGATAAGTCACTGGGTGAGCGGTTTGAGTCCTGCCGCGGCACTAATGTCCTTTGGCAAGACATTAATCTACGCTTGCCACTCTTCACACAGGTGTTAAATGGGAACCAATAGGAAAGAATTCCTTAAATGCTGTGAGCATCCAAATCGGCAGCCTAGCATAGCCGGGTAATGTTGGAGCGCCTTGAGGAACTTCAAGGTCGATACGTGCGCTATATAAGAATCCGATATTATTATTATGAATGCTTACAATGGTTTAATATATTTCCATGATTTTTTATTCCAGGTATATGATCTGTTTGGCCCTGTCGTCTCTCCCTTCTACTCTGTGCGTTTCAACAATGCAGCCGACATCGAGCAGCATGAAATCAAGCTCAAAACCGAGGTCTTCTTTGCCCCTAAAAATGTGGACGTAACACAGTATGTCTTCACAGAGCAGCTCAAAAAGTAAGTACAGTGAAACCTGTCTATAAAGACTACACAAGAGAGACAACAAGTGGTCTGTATAGGCAGGTGGTCTTTGTAGACAGGTGCCTATAGTACATGTTTCAATGAGAAACCATTTTCAAGGGAAACAAAAAATGTGGTCTTTGAAGACAGGTGGTCGCTAAAGCAGGTTTGCAATGCCTCTGAAGGCCAACCATGTCCAGTTTTCAGGCACGGAGTCTAATTTGACACTTGACCACAATTCCTAAAGCCTTGAGCAGAGCGTAACTCTGTCAGTCCTTGGCCTTGTCTGGAACAACTCAAGTACAGAGCCTATGCAGTATGCCGTCAGCATAGTATCAAAGTGCAGACACTGTTATGCAAAACAAGAACAAAGTGTGATATTTAAGATTTGGATAATGTCAGATGTGCTATGGACCCTAATACATGATGATCAGTTACATTTTGCATTACTCATTATGTTATTTTTCTGTCCCTTGATATCTGAAAAGTTGTTAAACAAAAGTGTAGATCCTTAAACATTTGAAACTCTTCCAAACCTGTACTTTTTTTTCTCTCCCATATCCAGAATGCGTGGCTCTGATGCATCATGGAAGAATGATGAGGAATGCCCAGAAGAGGTTCAGGAATTCAGCGATGATGAGGCAGAGTTGGCAGCAAAGAATTCAAAGAAGAAAGAAAGGAAGAGGAAAGTTCCACAAGGGTGAGTTGCTTATTGCAGTACCGGTACATCAGCTTGCTCTAATGCTCAGTCACTTCTTTGTGTATTTAGCTTGAATATTGTTGCGTATTTATGGCAAGCTGTTTTAACATTTATTCCTATTTCTGAAATCAAGATTTCAATTCTTGATATTAATAATTACCATTGCTTTACAACAACACAAATCTTTTCTTGATTTCAAGAAAAAGGAATAAATGTAAAAAACAGCTTGCCATACATGTAAATACGCAGCAATACCCAAGCCAAATACACAAATGTGTAAATGAGGCATAAACAGCTGATGACCAAGAATAATTAATGCTGTTGATTATCAGAATTTTTGAAAGGGTTCAGTGATCTTCAGCTTGAGAAAAAGAAAAAAATGAGAAAACTCTTAGAACTTGTTCAACTTTCACCAGCACCAACATTTTCCCTTTCCCCTTTTCTCCAAGAGAAGATATGTATGTATTTGTGCTTTCTTGAAAAAAAGAAAAAAGGAAATAGTTTTCATTTCACGGTTTTCTTTAACCATGATGATCATCACACACAATGCACACTGTACAACAAATTGGACTCCTTTAAGAAATGCTCTTGAACGTTGCTCAACTTCCACCAGCACCAACACGCTAGTGGAATATTGTGTTGTAGTGTTGTAAATACTGAACAATACTGAGACTAGCACAATAAATACTCGACCAGAAGAGCCTACAGAGCATAGCTACATGAGAGAGATAGTTACATCACTGGAAGTTGCTCCTAATTGGGCAGCATTTTATGAAGCTCCAAAATAGGAATAACATGTAGGAACATGACTTAAACTATGACCCATTTCGTGTATGCTTACATGCTTGTACCACAAATATCTCTATCAATATGCCACGCTACAGAGGTGCACATTTTAATTTGACAATCACAATGAGCTCACAACACAATGGAATCCTTGACCCATTCCCCCCTCAAACAATAATCCCAAGGGGGGGGGGGGATCTATTTTCGGTTAGAATTTTGAGCTTGCAGGTCTAGAAAACCATGAAAGATTTGAAACTATCAAATTTGAGCATAGAGGGAGACATTTCAGCTAGCTGGCTATAGTAGACCTAATATCTAGACTTACAGATAATGTGTGTGCTAGTAACATGAATCCACTATCCTTACTGGAAGGTCAAATAGACTATTTATGCCACCAGGTGTCCTGGCATTAAATTCCCATTGGTGTTTGAACAATTTTTGTTATCCATAATGTATTTTATTTATAAAGCAAATAATTCAAAGGCTTTACATAGCTTCTTTCTGAAAACTTAAAAATTATTTTCTTCACATGTCAGTTAAATTTAAATGTCCATCTATTTAGCCATGTTAAACAGAAAACACAGTAATTATGATGATATGGCACTGGTGAATATTAATCTGTTTTAAAAGAGAAGTCCACTGACTTAGTTTCAATAAAAACATGAAAATGAGAGGAAAAGATTGAAGCTATGAAGTGGTATGTGAAACCAGATTTATTAATATTATAAATAATTTTGCCTTTGTAATTTCAGAAGGAATGATGGCTCTCAGCAAGGACAACAGGGACAGTGGAGACATGGCAATAGACAAGGTAATCATTCAATGTTTATTTGTTGTTCGGCTCAAAACCATTGATAAGTCATCGGGGCCGGTATTCAATGCGATACTTTGTTTAAGTAAAACTTTTTCTTATCATTTGGCTTAGGTAAGTAAATGTTCTAAGTTGTATTTAGATTACATTTAAGCAATTACTTTCAAAAGCCGCCTTTATGGTAGACTACCTACTGAGCATTGTGACATCACACGGTCAATTGAAAGTAATGCACAATTTGATTAACATAATATAATTGTGCACTGCTTATGATGAATGTGCATGAAAACCATAAGCCTTTCAATCAATGTTTCCAAAATAATTGGCTTAAGTATGTTAGGGAGCTGTCTTAAATTTAGGGTAAAATACTTAACCAAAGGCTTCAACCTAATTATAATACCAAAGTTGGCCAAGTATTTTATTTAAGCCGAAAAACTGAGTAAAATAGTCCTATTTCTGACGTCAGTATTGAATTGAATAACGCCCCAGTATTCTTTCTTGTACCTTTGTATTTTCTGTAAAAAGAAGATGATTCTAACGTTTAGATATAAAGAATGTTTTGTTATTTTAGTTCGGTTTTTATGAATTTCTTTATTGTAGAACAATTCCATGGCCGAAGAAACCAGCCTAGACCGCATCCTCCTCTCCAGAGGCAACCAGCATGCAGACCTCCTCAGTTTGGATCTCCTGCGTTTGGTCCACGCCCCCACCACCACCAACAACAGTTCATGCCACGCCCTTCAAACCAACCTGGTTGGATGCCTAACATGGTGGGTCCTCCAAGAGGGGACTTCCCCTGTCCTCCTCCCAGACAGTGGTACGGTGCTCCACCAAGGCCACCAGGCTTCCCTCCAGGGGTTCCTTCAATGTTCCAGAATCCACAAACCACAGAGCCTCCCGCAGGCCATCAGCCACCGCAGCTGATGCAGATGGAAGGTTCTCAACCTCTGAAACAAAGTGCGTCCATATCCAATCCCCAGACGTTCTCAGCAAGGGGGATTGGTTTTGCACCGCCCTGGCAACTGAAACCACCCCAGCCCCCTGCTTCCTGGGGAGGTGTACCCCTCCCTGCAAGAACTCCGCCATTATTGAACAGTCCTTCAGCCACTCTGCAACCGTCTACAAGCAATGCACCTCCCAATGCCTTCACCAACCCACCTAGCAATCAACCAGTACCACCCTTCCTTGGGTTCTCTCTATTCAACATCCCTCCACCCCCACTGACTCTTCCACCCCCTCCTCCTCCAGGCATGCCTCCAAGGGGTGCAGGCAACCACGCCCAGAAACCGCCCTCCTTGATGGACCAACAGGTGCATCCACCAGCGTCCCTGCATCACTCGGTTTCAAGTCAGATGCAATGGATCCAGGCCCAGAGCCAGCAAGGCCAGATGCCGTTTACTCCCAAAATCGGAGCAACTCCGGTCTCCACTTCCAACTTTGCCCCGGCTCCTATCCCACCGCCTTCCTTCCATCCCCGCATGATGCAGTCCTTTAGACAAGAGCCTAAGACTCAAAATTAACAAGGGTCATCATAGCATCTGCAAAGTGATGTAATCTGTGTTCTTCTTGTATTATCATTAAACACAATATGAGCTTCAATAGTCTTGCACATTAACTTTTGAAATGTGTTAACATTACAGCAACATATTTCTTAACACCAAAACAGGTGTTATTAGCAATACAGTATAAAAAGCGACAGAGTATTATAATCAATGTAGAATTGATGTATGACCCTGGTTTTGGCATAATGATATGCAGTTCTAATCACAGAACGTATAAAAAAAAGAGAGACTATCTGTTCAGGATCAGGCTATTTTCTTAAATGATCTACCATTATAATTTCTTAGTAATACTAATTCTTTGCTCAATTTTCGTTTTGGTATTCCTATATTCCTTTATTAGGGGGTAGATATGAAATAAATCTTTCTGCATTGTAGGAAACGATAAGCATATTTGAAAATTTTGAATGCCCTTAAACCAATATTGTGTTTGAAAAAGAAAAGCTTCTATAACCTTTGCTACATGGAGGTACCTAAAAATCATATCTTTATTTTTAATTTTCAATCTCATACAATTACATTTTAAGGTTTTGCAAGTACATGTAATTCTCTTTCATAGTCTATCCATTGAATTGATTTTGATGTAGAAAAGTAGAGTGTATCATGTTATATTACTTGTTATATCCTCAATTTTTATCTCTCCAGAATATATGTATGTATATTTTGTTCTAATAAGTAGCTTCCTGTATTATAAATTGTTCTTATGCAAATCAATAATACATTTTTGGTAGGAAACTCCAAAATATTTAATTTCTTACATCTATGAATTTTATACAGTGATTTATGTGTAGGTGAATCTAAGTACGGTTAGTATGTAAGCCTTTGTTACCTAGTACATTACAGTTACTGCATCTTTTATAATTAAATCAAGTTTACCATAGGCTTTGTTCATCAGCTTTTTTTCTTAGAAGCTCCTGAAATCATTTCCATGCTTGTTTATAATAATGATACTACTCCTAATGGTAATAATTTTGTATACCCAAGGAGGCCTCATCAGCATCAATGCTGTTCTTCCCGAAGGCCCTGCAATTGTTATTACTCCAGGGGGGTGTTTCACAAAGATCCTAAGTTGAACTTATCTCTAAGTTGGACTTAACAATTATGGAAAGCCGTTAGCATCCTTGAAAATGTTTTGTTAAAGTTATTTTAAAAGGCATAAAATGTTGATTTAAATCATTCATATTTCCTATTATCATGGGAGGTTTCATGTTCTTGATGTGGAATTTATGAAAAGTCTAAAATACTTGAATTTTTGCTTTTGAATATTTTTCAAAATAAGGCTACAAATGGCTCTCCATAATATTTAAGTCGAACTTAGAGATAATTTCAACTTAGGATTTTTGTGAAACACCCCCCAGGGATTGCTGCGTATTCATTTACACCTGGGTGGAGAGTGGAAAGTGTGAAAGACGTTAGTGCTGAAATTTGAACCCTCAACCCTTTGATTGAGAGTCAAGTGAATGAACCACTGCACCATGACACCTCCACTTATAAAACATGTTTATACAGTAAAACCTTCTTTAGCGACCACCTGTATAGAAAGACCACCTGTCTACAGAGACCACATTTTTTGTTTCCCTTGAAAATGGTTTCTCATTGAAACATGTACTAAAGGACCACTTTTCTTGTCTCCCTTAGGTGGTCTTTTTAGACAGGTTTCACTGTAGCATAACCAAAACACAGTAGACTACAAACTATTTACATCACTTGTTACGTCAAACATATGTACCATCAGCATCATGTTCATTTTATTTCATTCTCATCTCTTTATTCTTCATTATTTACTTAACCTTTGAGCTATTTTTTTATTTTTTTATTATTTGTGCAGTAATGATTGTACCATTGCAAGTTATCAAGACGATACATATGTGTGACCATCTTTAAACATGTTAATTGCCAAAGCCTCAGAAATAGGCAATGTAATCAGTTCAATAAATTTCATTCCATAATTGTAGGATACTCAACTATACCACTCTAAATTCAAATTCATCCTGCCTAAAACGATGGACCCTCTACTGATCGCATCCAGCTGTCAGATTGTGTTGGGACCACACGCTGGGTTTTTGCATTGGCGCGAAATTCAAACCTAGCGGTGGAACGCATAGGATCAAAGGGACTGCTTCGTCAAAAGTCCATTTGTAGTAGGTCCATGCTAAAACCATGTTCTGGTGACCATTGTGCTTGAGAATAGTGAAATATATTTTTTATGTAGGACACGTCTTCCAATTTATCTCCTGTTTTTGTTTATCCAAATGCATATTAACGGCGAAAGGAATGCTTATTCATTTACTATTCACATGTAGTATGTTTGTAAATTTGGAAGGGAGTGACATTTTAATTACTCTCCTTCATTCAGAATGTCTATAATAAATATGGCAGAAATTCATGATTACTTGTTGATAGTTTTTATTTGGTAGGTGTGTGAAGTTGAAAATATGGACCACGCTTGATGATGTTTGATATAAATTAATAGGACTAGATATAACAAATATGAAACATTACTCACTTTTGATAATGTTTGATTTAAATCAATAGGACTAGATATGACACATATTGATGTACAGTTAACCAGGCATAACTGGAAGTACGTCACACAACGAACAACGAGTCAAATATTGGTCAAGTCAAATCGTTTTCTTGGACAAACTATGCAAAAAGTATTGCAAGTCCAAATTTGCAAGTCAAACATTTCTTGTTTTGCAGTACCAACTCCGAACATAATAGACTGGTGCAGAATTACGGTAACTGTTTATCTATGTAATGTTTTATTTGTGTGCTGAGAGCCAGGAGGATGTTTTATAGTGTGTGTAAGGTATAGGAGCAAGTAGTATCCTGACTAGACACTCAACAGACAATAATATTACAAATCATTTTCATACTTGATAGCCGGAATTAACTGATTTGATGAAAGTAGGCAAATTTTCGTAATGTAACCAAAATTCATGCATATGTCTTTGTGAAGCGCATCATTCAAATGATTTAATTGACCTGTTATGAATAAATTGCATACTTTAGTTGTTCCTAGGTAGGACAAAAGTGGCTTGCCCTACCCAGGGACGTGATAGAGAAGGACTGGAATCAAGCCGCTCTCCTTTGACCCCATGCTCCAAGCCGCCGAAAAGTTATGCGCTAATCTGCAACTGTTGACCAGATGGTGAGATAAAAGAGCGCATGAATTTCAGGATTTAGAATTCCTACATCAGAAAATGGTATCACAGCAACTGTTCGTTGTCCCTGTCAATGATATCTCATCCATTGTTGAATGTGTAAAGAGGAGAACAAGCGAACACAAACTTGTGTAATTTCATCCTTTTTTAAACTTCAAAAATACAAAAAAACACGCATTAGCAAACTTAATATTATTGAAGATTGTAAATCATGGATCAAATAACGGGACATTAAAACATGCACAAATTAGCGCATTATCCTAAACTATTGAGTTTTTGTCAGGATGTAATTTTTCTTTTACCAACTCTGGCACACAAATTATAGGAAGGACGGAGTACTAAATTTGAAAATTTGGCATCCAGGGGTCCGCTTTAGGGCCCTGGGCGGGGTCCAGGGGGCAGATCTCCCGGAAGCTCAGGGGTTTTAGGCATTTGATTACGGTCAGATGAACATATTTTTATACCTTATTTGTGACACTGGCAGGACACTGATTGGAGTGGGGTCCAGCGGGCGGAGCCCCCAGAAGCTTTAGGCACTAAATGACGGTCAGATGAGTATCAAGGGGCCCGCCATAGGGCCCTTGGTTGGGTCCAGGGGAAGGAACACTTTTTTTCAACAAAATTAAATAAATCTTTCCCTTTACCCCCTTCTTTTCTTTTTGGTACAAAATATCATCACTGAGGTGATCGCGGGGCTACTATCATCCCGAGCCGTGTTCATAAAGGTGTCAAGCTTCAAATCGCAAAAAGGTATAGTTAAACGAAAGTAACCAAATAGGTGAGGGGTTGAGATCAAAATGTTAAGTTCATATACCGGATTGGGTTATTATATTATTTATGGCACAATATGAAAGCAATTTTTTGAGAGAATGGGATATTGCTTCAGTTGTTGAGGACATTTTTTTTTTTTTTGGTCTCGAAATTTGAAAATTTGACATTTTGCTCCGTTGGGGGGGGGGGGGGGTAAGGTCAGCTTTTTTAGTTTTTTAGGTCAGCCATGGGAATAATTTTTTTATTTCTTTTTTTTATTATTAAAAAACAAAAAACAAAAAAACAAAAAAACAAAGGGGGGGGGGGGGGGGGGGGTTAGCCCCCCAAACACCCCCTGCGTACGCGCCTGTGTGTATGTGTATATGTAGAAATATATACGTATAAAGGGTATTATAATTTGTATTACACATTGCTGTAGAATACTTCATGAGAAGGTTGTGTTTTAAGAACATGATTTGCATTATTTGAATTGGCCATTGTATCTTGCAACTTGGTTTCCGGTGGGGCCCCGATGATTGCAGGCATTCCGTCCTATCTTTTTATAACCTGTACCTGATTGTTAAGGTATCTGTTCGCCTGTTCAATGCAGGGAACTGTTTGCCTTCTTTTTATGCAAGGGGGGGGGGGGGGTTATGTATCTCGCTGGTCCGAGCAAGAAAGTAATACTGTTCGCCTGTTTAACGCATGGAACAATGTCGCCATCTGTTTGTGGCCTCGATGCAGAAAGTACTCTGAGTTGGACATGGTAGCTTCATGATCCAGTGTATTTAGTTTTGTAGTGTATGCAGATGCAGATACTTGTATAAATTGATCGAAAAATTCGAAAGTAAAAATACCCAGGTCCTTCCCAGGGGTGGATTGTAGCAGTGTAATATAAAAGGGGAAAGTATGACGACGGTTTATCCTTCTATATTCAGTTGGGAAAGTTCGTGTTGTAATTGTTGTTATTGTCATGATGTTGATATTCAGGTTACAAGAAAACATCCTCCATTAAATCTCAAGTAACCGCAAACAAAACGAATTCTGTTTCCTTTGTTACTTTGAATGTAAAGTGTTTTTTTTTTTAATTAGCCCTATTCAATTGCCTCATAAAATATAAACGTTACTAAGATCGTGCCTCAATATCTCAATGGAAATGTTTCTGCTGTAAAAGTGTCACGCGTTGCGCGATGTAAGTGGCTTTCATTCTATTTTAACAATTTTATCTACACCTAATTGTATGATGTACGTGACCTTCGTCTTACTGTTGATGTTATATGTATTTATCTAAAATTCCTCAACATTCTGTAGCAGAAAAGATACAGCAGATATTGGTATAAAACTGTTTAATGAACTCCCAGAGTCAATCCGCTTAGCAAGTAACTTTAGTAATATTTTCACCAGATTGATTTCTCAACTAAACCCCCACCCTTTCTAGATATAATTTTTCCCCCTCTTCTGTTTAACTTGCATTGTATTTGTTTTTTAATAAATATTTTTTTTTTTACATTAATTTATTTTGATATTATGTATTTTTTATTGTTTAATTTTGTGTTTTTATCTGTTTAATCATCTGTATTTTGATGTACCATGTACGGACATGTTGAAAAACAGCTATGCTAAGCTGAAAGCACCGTATTTAAATAAATAAACAAACAAAGAAAGAGTTATTATTGTACTCCAAATACTACTCAATCAAACCAGGGGTAACTGTTCATCAAATAATGAACTAATGATTGATTTCATGTGATAGAAAGATACAATCTATGGTTACATCCATTACTGCAGCAAGACTGGAGATACAATATAATGTCACGATTGACTGTAGGTATTTTAATGATACAGACCCCATGACCATCTTTCAAAATTGAAAAGTGTTGTATATAAATTAAAGATTCTATGTCCTTTTTGCAGCCAACATCACAATTTCAAGTTCAAGTTCAAGTCCAAATTTATTGATCATGCACATACGAACATGTATGTCCTATCTGTGAAATTTAAACTTTAGCGGTGTCCTAGAATGCGCATTATGCAAGGCGAACCGTTTAACTTCTAGACTCCACCGTCAGACACTATTGAGTGACTGACTGACATTTTTTTCTTTGGTAATAACATCTAGATTACTATTCATTAAAAATGCTTATTATTGGCCGATGAACTATGCTAGCAACCAAATAACATCAATGCATGCATTCCACTGCCAATAGCATTGATTGATTTATTCTGTGTTGTTGTTTGTGTCTTGTTACTAGATTCTAATCAGCCTTTGGATAGCCCAAATCCTCCTATCAGTAAAGGGTGAGTTTTTATGCCTTTGCAATGTTTGATGTTCTCGATTAGTTACACCCAGCCTTACCTTATTCCACATATATTCTTTTGTCATGTGTAAATTTGCAATATTTGTTTGTTATATATTTGTAAAAATGCAAAAGAAAAAGAAAATCAAACAGGAATAAATAAATCAAATCAAATCAAATCAAATATGCAGATAATGTCGGGATTTGTTAGTGTTGGATTGGTTGATTACCCCCAGCCTGCTGTTCTTTTGTCTGCCTCTTCGTTATGTTCCAAATGAGGCAGAAGAGAGATTCGAATTTGGAGTAATTCAACAAGGGTTTTTAATGCTCACATGAAAGCTGCCCTTGTAGCCATGGAGCTGGAGAAATACAGAATTGACATTGCTGCTCTGAGTGAAACACGTTTCTCCGAGTCAGGAAGGCTCGATGACATGGGCTACATATTCTTCTGGAGCGGCAAGCCGGACGGCGTACGACGAGAGGCTGGAGTGGGATTCGCCATCAGAAAAGAGATCTTAGTGAAGCTCACAGAAATGCCTAAAGCGGTGAATGATAGAATTATGACAATGGCGGTACCACTGACGAAGAAGGGAAATGCTCAGTGTATACGCACCAACCATGACTAGTCCGGATGAAACAAAGGAGAACTTCTACAATCAGCTTAGGCGAACGTTGCGGGACACCCCCGGACTGACAAGCTGATATTGATGGGAGACTTCAATGCCCGGGTAGGACGAGACTTTGAGAAATGGCAGTCACGATAGGCAGGCACGGAATCGGTAAATGCAACACCAATGTAGAGCTACTTCTAGCGCTGTGCTCTGAGTTCGAACTCCTACTGACAAACACCGTGTTCAAGCAGAGGGAAGAACACAAAACCACCTGGATGCACCCTCGCTCTAAGCATTGGCACCTGAATGATTACATCATAACAAGACAACGAGACAGAATGGATGTTCACAGCACAAGAACTATGCGTGGAGCTAACTGCTTGACAGATCACCAGCTACTAAGATCAAAGATTTCATTTGCTTTACGTTCAAAGCGTAGGAAGCAAGGAGCTACTAAACTTGCAATGCTGAACACAGACCGGCTACACGTCAACACACAACGGCTAAATCTAGAGCAAGATATGGAGAAAGCTCTGACGAACTTGGAAGTGCAAGAGGGATTGACAGTTGATCAGACCTGGGCATCACTCAGCAAAGTAGTATATGAGACAGCGAGCAACACCCTCGGTAAACCAGAGCGAAAACACCAGGACTGGTTTGACCCAGAAGACTCCGAGCTTCTGATATTCATGAAGAAAAGGGATGAAACACACCAACGTGTATTACAGACTAGAAGCACAAGGTCCACCACCACCGCGTACAAGGAAGCCTGCAGACACTTGCAGAGGTACACACGGAAAATGAAAACCGACTGGTGGGAGAAAAAGGCAGAGGACCTGCAGCGCTCCTCAGACAATAATGACATGAAGTCCTTCTACACTGGACTGAAGGAAGTCTGGGGCCCACAGACAAGGAGTACAGTTCATCTCAAGTCCCTGGACGGTAACACAACCTTTTCAGACAACAAAAGAGTGCTTGAACGATGGTCGCAGCATTTTGAGACACTACTCAACCAGCCAGGAGATATCGAGTCTGCAGCGCGTGATAGGATCAACCAGCGACCTGTAGTTACTGCACTCGATGATATTCCAACACGAAAAGAGCTAAACCTGGCAATTGCCTCCTTGGGTGATGACAAGGCCCCCGGAGTGGATGGGATACCAAGCGAGATATGGAAGCACGGAGGAGCCACACTAACCAACAGTTTACTAATGCTGATACAACAAGCATGGGCCGTGCCCGTACATGCTCCGTACCTCAGCAATGGAAGCAGGGGCGTAAATCCCGGGGGGATGGGGGGGGGGGGGGGCTGCATCCCCCCTGGCTTGAAGTAGGGGGGATGGCCTGTACAATCATCCCCCCTGATATTACCAAAACAAACTTAGAGAGGAAAAAAAAGGAAGAAGAAGAAGAAGAAGAAAAAATGTGATTGTTTCAATTTCAGCATAATGCATGAGAAATTAGTTATTTTGTTTATGTATAGCCTACACGTATACAGTATGTCACGATAAGGAAACGTCAAGGCTTCCGCGCTTCGTACGAGAGGGGGAAACTGAATTCAGATAAATAGGGCTTATTAAGAGTCGAAAACGGGGCAACGAATCGTCTTCTTTCTCTAATAGTTTAAGGAAACGTCAAGACTTCCGCGCTTCGCGCGAGAGGGGGAAACTGATTTCAGATAAATAGGGCTGATTAAAAGTTGAAAACGGTTATTAATGATTTAAGGAAACGTTTAAGTTTCCGCCTATTACCCACACCCCCAATAATGAGCGAGCGTGTGTGTGTGTGTGTGTGTGTGTGCGCGCGTGTGTGTGTGTGTTGTGTGTTTGTGCGTGCGCGATCGCGCGCGCTTGCGTAAATTAGTGTGGGCGTGTGCTAGTATGTGAAGGCTATCGCCGATCATCCCCCCACTCCTCGGTACGGATTTACGCCCCTGAATGGAAGGATGCTAATATTGTCACCATCTTCAAAAAAGGAGATAGAACTCAATGTGGAAACTACAGAGGAATATCGCTATTGTCAATACTGAGCAGGGAAAGTTTTTGCCAGGATCCTCCTTAACAGATTGAATGCCCACATAACACCAGATATATTGCCGGAGACGCAATGCGGATTCAGAAACAACCGGAGCACTGTAGACATGATCTTCTGCCTCAGACAACTACAGGAGAAGTGTATCGAGCACAACCGATCCCTATGTGTGGTTTTTGTCGATTTTACTAAAGCCTTTGGCACTGTTGGTAGGACAGGTCTTTGGCAACTACTCCGAAAGTATGGATGTCCCGAGAAGTTCACCCGAATGATAGAGTCCCTACATACGGGTATGATGGCTAAAGTCAAGGAAGCAGGCGAAACATTCGACAGCTTCCCTGTAAGTAACGGTGTAAAACAAGGATGTGTGTTGGCCCCTACGCTGGACTTTGAGGAGGGCGTATACATACAATCACGTCAAGACGCCGACCTATTCAATGTCGCACACTTCAAAGCTAAGACGAAGTCTACACAGATTCTCGTGAAGGAACTCCTCTTTGCAGATGACAGTGCTCTTGTTGCTCATACGCCAGAGCAGATGCAACATGTTATAGATGTATTTTCATCAGCATCAAAGAAGTTCGGTCTACAAATAAACATCAAAAAGACTGAAGTACTATTCCAACGAGGTACAGACCACCGAGAGGGGGAGGAGATCCTAGTGGATGGAAGAGCCCTAAACCAGGTAGATGAGTTCACTTACCTCGGCAGCACTATATCCAAAGACATACGCATCGACTCTGAGCTGGTGAAAAGAATGGCAAAGGACAGCAGTGCCTTTGGAAGATTGCGAACCAGGCTATGGAACAACCATCGTGTCTCAACGAGAGTGGAGTGCAAAATCTACAGGGCTATCGTCCTATCCACTGTCTTATACGGTGCGGAAAGCTGGACTCTCTACAAAAGTCAAGTAAAGAAACTTCACGCGTTCATGATGAGACACCTCCGAGCAATCATGATAATCAACTGGAAGGACAAGGTGACCAACAAAGAGTTACTAGAACGAGCAAACCTACATCCTATGGAGGACCTGCTCATCAGGAAGAACCTACGACGGACAGGCCATGTCATCAGGATGCCCTCTGAGAGGTTACCAAAGCAAGTACTATTTTCGCAACTACCCGCTGGCGAAAGAGGGATTGGTCGTCCACGGCTTCGGTACAAGGACGCGATCAAGCGGAACCTTAAGCGGAGGCAAATTGAAATCAAGACTTGGACAACTGCTGCAGGCCTGCGATCTGTATGGAGAACAACTGTAAAGTGAAAATGAAGGCGGTCATTGCCGCTTCGCGACAGACAGCTACTACTACTACATGAAAGCTATGCAATTTAGTGGCGTATGGAGATGGGAGGGGGGGGGGGCGTCAGCAGCCCGTCCACAAATTGCAGTTTATCTGAATATTAGGCGGACAGAAGCTTTTCTGGCAAAATCAAAGCATCTTTGGATGGATGAAAATGATATCAATTTTTAAACCTACTAATTACTGGGAAGTTTCCTGAAAGGATAGGATTCTATTTTGGCTGCGATATTTGCACCAAAACATATTACATGTATATTCACGTTTGTACCCACAAGGAGTATTCAAAGAACTACATAAGACTTGTAGAATTGAAATGGTTGCGAGCGCTCTTCTTTAAAAAGCATGTTACCTGTTTGATTTTTGATTGTACGGGGTGATTTCGACAGTGAGATAACTTGAGTCAGATCACATTTTACTTTTACCATGGCATCGAGAATTTATCGAATTCTCATTTTCAACAAAGTAGTTAAAAGTATAATGACTTTTGAAGAAGAAGAAAAAAGATTCTTTTTAATATAGCAAACAATTAAAGACTGTGCTTGTAGTAGACATGTGTGTATGTACTTAACTCACGATCATTTTCCCCTGGTGTTTCTTATGCAGGGATCCATGGTCATTGTCCTGAATCGAATCCTTGCCCTTCTTCTTTACACTTTGATGGCATGGCTGTCAAGGGTGTGGTCTTTGGCGGATCATCAGCAATGACAGCGTAGGATCCTACGATAGTTATTTGCAAATCACCAAATGCGGGTAAACAGACAGGACAAAAATACCATGGCAGTCGTAATAGCCCGCCCCACCCCCAACTTAGTGTTATTTAGGGTACGCATATGCGTGTTCCCAGCGTAATAGCAACATGTAGTGTCTAGTTTCTATTCACTTCCAAAGTATAAATCAATACCTATTACCCTAAAATCTGTTCATTTAAAAGAGATATCTTCATAAGCGTCGAAACAATAAGTATACGTATATGTGCCGTGGTATAGTTGGTCCTCCGACAGATTCGAGGCTCGAGTCCTCCCCCCCCCCCCCCCGCGGCGATAATATGGCAAGACATTAATCTATATTGCGATTATTATTATGCAATTGTGTAATTTTTATTATCACAACGAAACATAGACCTATCATTCCCTAATATGAAAATAACACATTTTTCAGAAAACGACCCCTTCTTTTTAGCTCCGGGTTAACTTTCGACCTTTCCCCGCATTTGCTTAAAATGTGATTAAATGATCTGCATTTGTACAATTATCACAAAGTATTTGGCTTCACCTAAGTCTGGGAGGGGAAAATCAAACTGAATAAATGCTACCCTCGGGTTTACCCTCCCGGTATAACTGATTGGGGTTATGGAGGTGGACCACTACATCGGGGTAGACATTTCTTTTATCTGGCCACGCACATATTTTATCTACGAACTGGCTTATTGAAGCAATGTTTAAAACATCCAGTTGCTTCATTTCTTTTTACGAGTACTCTAAAAGTCTTTTAAGCAACGTGACCCAGTGGGGGTGTTTAGCCATTTTAGTTCAGATTCAGAATCAGATTTATTTCCATTGAATATGGAGATGGTTACTGCTCCCAAATGATTTTCGTTATGTTTGTATAGACGAATATTAACTCCCACACTCTCCACCGCGCTGATTGGTACTTCTTTTTGACGGAACAGTTATCAATACAATCATTTTAGAATTGGATATGTTTGAGTAACATGCTATTAACATATCTAACGTTAAGATCAGAAATCAAAGAGAAGTGTATATTTTATGTAAGATGCTTGCATTACGTAAGAAGGGACAGTATTACAATCAATTTGGAATTTTATGTAAACAAGGTTACATTAAAAGTTGGATTAAAAGTTGGACGTGGTGATTTACGAGAGTGAATGACCTAAAGGCTCGTGGTACAGGCTTAACATTTGACTGGATCACAAAGAAAGCAAATACTGTAGGCACAAACGTCGCTGAACGGGATCCCTCCAGCCTTCAGTTTCTCCCACAGGATCGACAGGAGCTGGAACCCATTCTACACAGATGCTCCCGGAAGTATTTCAACGCGGAGGACATAAACGAAAGGAGTGATTCCGGGTCGACGTCTCTTATACAAAGCGATGTCGCCCCTCTTGATATCGGTCGGGAATGCAGCACTTATTATATCAGCTCCAGTCTTGGCCTTCCATTCCGCTTGGAAAGCGCTGTAACTCGCCTCATCTATGTCAGAGTCCTACCCGAATAGAATGATAAAAAGGGTTAAACTAAAACAAAAACGATCGAAGATCAAAGGAACTGAAATATGAACATCTCTACACAGGGAGGCTATGAGAGGTGATTTGCGGTAGTGTTCTAATACAGTATTGCTTTAATGGTTTGAAATCTGAGAATCACGATTCCCACCTTGCCAAACCAATTATTCCCCGAAGATGTGTGTCTTTCCATCTCATGCTGTATCAATGCTTGACACATTATTTTCAATGTTTATTCACTTTCTAGAATCTCCCTAGAGTATATTCTGCCATCTAAATTAGAAACTAACCCACCTTATAATTGAGGAAAAAAGGAGATAGTAAGACTTTTGTTGATCCTTAGTTCGCGTGGTACACATTGGTTCAACAGACGTAGTCGCCACTTCTGCGTAACCTCCTGTTATGTTTAAATATGAACATGAACAATAAGTACTACAAGGAAATTAAATCTTCGTAGATATTTGGCTTGGGTGGGAGCATAAGAAATTGAAAAAAGAACAACAAACAAAAGAGAAGTTCGTTAACGTGTCAGAATAAGGTGACAAAGATAAAGAAAATTACCATTTATAAAAGGTGGAGGGGGAGGAAAAACAAATCGAATACACAAATTAGTGAAAGCTTCAAAGAATCTAACAAAGAAAGAGAGACATCTCTAATTATATGACAGCTGATATCGATACAAAATAAATTGATGAATATTCTATTCCTTTGACAATTCTTCATGTTGTGAGATCTGATACGGGAAGAACTTTTCGTCAACACCAAAGTTTCGCTTTTATTAATGCCTCAGATGAATCAAAGAGGGTATGTGTACATTTTTTATATTAATCCCAGATCCCCTAACTCTATGGAACTATATGGGCAAGTCCCATGTATGTGATCATTTTTTCCCCATTCGTTCCCGATATTGTGTTGTTCTGCGCAAATTGACACCAAGTGTGCCTTTTCACTCCATATTTGGTCTTATATAAGCTATTTGAATTGTTTATACTCATCAATTACAACAACTAAGAAAAACAAAACAATAACATTAAACAAATCTAACAAATAAATAAACAAAACAGAGGTCGGGATTCCTGGATCCGCTACTGTCTGTTAAAATAGGAGGAGAGAGAAAGAGGGGGTAATGAGAAGAGGGGGAGGGGAGCAGGGGCGTCGCCAAAGGGGGGGGGGTGTGGGGGGGGTGCGACACCCCCCCCCCCACCTGTCAGGATATTGTCGGTAAAATTGCGCTGCCGTCGGGAAAAAGAGAAAAGGGGAGGGAAAAAAGAGAGGGAAAAAAAGAGAGGGGAAAAAAAAAAGGGAAAAAAAGAGGGAAAGGAAAAGAAAAGAAAAAAAAAAGGAAAAGAAAAGAAAGAAAGGAAAAGAAAGGAAAAAAAAGAAAAGAAAGGAAAGAAAAGAGAAGAAAGAAAGAGAAAAACGAAAAAGAGGGAGGAGAGGAAAGAAAGGAAAAGAAAGAAAAGAAAGAAAAGGAAAAAAGAAGAAAAAAGAGTGAAAGGGAAACAAAAGAAACGGGGGATGAAAGAGAGGAGAAAAGGGGAAGGTAAGAGTCTGAGAGAGGAGGAGTGGGAGTAAAAGAGAGAAGGGGGTTGTTGGGTGGAGTCGTCTCGTCGAGGGAGCAAGAAAGACACGCAGGTAAATATGTTGCTGTGTCGGGTCAGCTGTGTCGGTATTCTTGCTCGATCCTCGTGTACTATCAATGCAGAAGTTTGAAGTCGGTGAGATGTATATTGTCGGTCGGCCGACAATTTTTTTTTCCCTACGAACTGTGATTTCTTATCCGCTGTGACGACTTCGAGAGTGACTACACCTAAAATACTTGTATTTTCTCGAAGTTTCACTTCCTATAATATCAGCTAAAGAAATCAGAGGTTTAAAATTTTCGGAGAAACTAATTTTAAACAAGGTTTAAGAATCAACAACGGTACGACGAATCGTCTTCCTTTCTTTATATTGTGATGAAACGCCAACAATTCCGCGCTTCGCGCGGGAGGGGAAACTTCATTTAGACGAGTCGAGAACGGTACAGCGAATTGTCTTCTTTTCTCTAATAATTTAAGGAAACGTCAAAGCTTCCGCCCTTCGCGCGAGAGGGGGAAACTGAATTCAGACAAAGTTAATAGGGCTTATTTAGAGTCGAAAACGGTACAACGAATCGTGTTCTTTCTCTAATAATTTGAGGAAACGTCAAAAATTCCGCGCTTCGCGCGGAAGAGGGAAACTTCATTTAGACGAGTCGAGAACGGTACGACGAATCGTCTTCTTTCTCTAATAATATAAGAAAATGTCAAAGCTTCCGCGCTTCGCGCGAGAGGGGGAAACTGAATTCAGACAAAATTAATAGGGCTTATTTAGAGTCGAAAACGGTACAACGAATCGTGTTCTTTCTCTAATAATTTAAGGAAACGTCAAAGCTTTCGCGCTTCGCGCGAGAGAGGGAAAAATGAATTCAGATGAATAGGGCTTATTAAGAGTCCAAAACGGTACTACGAATCGTCTTCTTCGCGCGATAGGGGTAAACTGAATTCAAATGAATAGGGCTTAATAAGATTTAAAAACGGTACGAGGAATCGTCTTCCTTTCTCTATATTGTGATGAAACTCCAAAAATTTCGCGCTTCGCGCGAAAGGGGAAAACTTCATTTAGACGAGTCGAGAACGGTACGACGAATCGTCTTCTTTCTCTAATAATTTAAGGAAACGTCAGAGCTTCCGCGCTTCG